GCCAAAGAGCTGTAATTGGTATTACAGAGTCAACTTTTTTAGGTAAGGCAAGTGACAAGGGCCTGCGTAATGTATTAATGCCATTTGTCCCAGCTATGCCCAAAGAGGCTAAATAGGCTGAGTTCTAGCCTGCAGTTCTGATGGGAAAATCTTAGGGGGCTCAGTGTAAGGATCCTTAGATTCATACATGTACATAGTTTCCTAAGTAGGACATCTAGTTCCCCTTTTCTGCGTAAGGGAAAAGGTAGGCTGAGCCTGCCAAGAGGCCCCAGAGATTGCACCCTCATTTGTTTCTCATAACATTATGCTTCATTTGATTGGGTGAGTGTTAGTTCCTGGGTCAATGCTAAGGTTTTGCAACAGTTTTCTAGCAAGTGTGTCTGTCTGTACCAGAGAAAGAGACAGGCTCTGAGAGACTGAGGAAAGAGAGATCTCTAGTCCCAGAAAGGACAGAGTGGAGTCTGAGGGAGGGACTGGCTACCGAGGGAACTAAAGTGGCACAATAAAGTTTATTTGGAAATGATCAGTCTGCTTTGCTGTTTGGGACATTGGCACTCTTATTCCTGGCCTTTGAAAAAGAAAACACCCCTCACCCAGAAGTTGACCAAAACAAAGGAGCTCTCCAAGATGGGGGTGCTATAAATTGCTAGGGAAGCCAGGGACAGAGAAGAGACAGGATCTCAGAGCCAGATGTTTATCCTTTTTAAAGTCATGCCAGGATTTCAGGGGGTCCTTCAGGAGAGGACGACTGAATAAGGCTTCTTCCTGGGGAATCCCAAGGCACAGCTTCACCTGAAAGGGGTGTGATCCAAGACACCAGCACATTAAAGCACCAAAGGGTCTGTTCCTAAAAGCAGAGAGAGGTGCGTATACAGCAGCTCCATCTACTCCAGTGTTCTCTCCCTGGCATCTCCTCCAATATTCTACGTCCAGGAATTTTTCAACGGAAACCAAACTTTTAAAGAGCTCACTTCTGACAGTCAAAACAAATTCAGTCTTGGCTTGCCCTGAGTGGGAATTTCTTCTCCCCAGGAAATTCCAAAACCCACCAAGTGGTTTGTTACCATTGACTAGGAAAGTGAAATACTTCAGATTTTGGGAACAGGAAGTTGTTTAATTACTTGTGGGTATAGCCTTCAAGAACACATTGCTAGTAAAAGGGCTAACTGGAGGGAAACTTTTCTTGACTTGCTGTTCACAAACGGGGAGGAATTGATTGAGAATGTGAATATTGGTGGTCACTTGGGAAACAATGACCACAGAATTATAAGAGTTCAAGATCTGAGGGGGAGGAAGGAAGAGAAGCAGCAGCATAAAGACACTGGACTTCAGAAAAGCAGACTGCAACAAACTTGAGGGAACCGGTGGGCAAGATCCCCTTAGAGGCAAATCTGAAAGGAAAAGGAGAACTTGCTATATTTTAAGAAGGCAGTATTAAGGATGCAGGAGCAAACTATTCCAATGCAATGGAAGAATGGGAGCTACCACAAGAGAGTAGCCTGACTACATAAGATTTTTAATGAGTTGAAACTCAAAAAAGTATCCTATAAAAAGTTGAAACTTGTTCATAGCACCAAGAAAGAGTATAAGAATATTGCATGGGCATGCAGGTAGAAAATTAGGAAGAGGAAGGCATGATTTGAGGCATAACTGGCAAAGACATAAAAGGCAATAAAAATGGATTCTACAAATATGTCAAGAGTCAAAGGAAGACCAAAGAAACCATAGTTGCCTTATGGAATGCAGAAGGCAATTTAGGGAGGCAAGGTTCTTTGTGTAGATGTGATATCTTTTATTAGACCAACTAACTAGTTGAAAAAGGTTATTTGCAAGCTTTTGGGCATAAACACCGTTCTTCAGGCCTGAAAGATTGCAAAGAACTTTTTCCCAGCTATTTAATTGGTATAATAAAAGATATTACATCTACTCAAAGAACCTTGCCTGTGTCCTTAGACCAACACAGCTACAACCAACTACAAAGGCAATTTAGTTATGGATGGTGCAAAGAAGGTTGAAGTATTCCATGCCTCTTTAACTTCAGACTTTACAAAAGGGAGCAGCTACCAGATGATGAGCACCTTTGACAGCAAAAGTGGGGAAGGAGACAAACAGCCTAGAGTAGTAGGAGAACACATTAGGGATTATGTAGGGAAACTAGATGCTTTCAAGTTGGCGGGACTGTATGAGATGTATCCTAGAGTACTGAAGGAATCGGCTGAGGTTATTTCAGACCCATTACCTATCCTCTTTGATAGCTCCTAGAAGTCTGGTGAGGTCCTGGATTATTGGAAAAGGGCAAATATGGTGCTCATCTTTAAGAAAGGAAGAAGGTGGCAATTACAGAACAGTCAGTCTGACCTCAGTACCTAGAAAGATCATGGAGCAGGTCCTCAGGAATCTACTATTTGCACCTATGAAGCACCTAAAGGAGAACAAGTGATCAGGAACAGCCAGCATAAGTTCACCAAGAGCAAGTCATGCCTAATCAACCTGATCTTCTTCTGTGATAAGGTACCAGGGTCCATGGATGGGGGGGAGAGCAATAGATATGATATACCTTCGGTTTAGCAGGGCTTTTGATGCTCTCTCCCACATTCTCATTAGCAAGTTAAGGAAATATAGACTAAACAAAAGTACTATAAGGTGGATACATAATAGATTTGGTCATTGTACTCAACTAGTAGCCATCAATGGCTCAGTGTGTATTTGGGAGGAGGTATCAAGTGGGGTTCCCCAAGGGCCTGTCCTGAGTCCATTTATGTTTGACATCTTCATTAATTATTTGGATAATGGCCAACTTGGTGGGCACACTTAGCATATTTGCATGCAACACAGAGTTCGGTGCAATTGCAGACACTTGGAGGGAAGGCTAGGATCCAGAAGGACCTGGACTATGGACCATTTTTTTCCGGTCTATCAATCTGATTAAATTCAACAAGAACAAATGCAAAATCCTTCGCTTGGGACAGAATACTTGCATGCACAGATATAAATTGGGTAATAACTGGTTCTGTTGCAGTATTGCATAGAAGGACCTGGGGTTTTCAATAGACCATATGCTGAATATGAGCCATAAGTATGTGTTGGCAAAAAAGCTAGCAGCATACCGTACAACAGAAGTGTCACTTGCAAAATAAGGAAAGTGATTATTTGGCTCTATTCAGCATTGATGAGGCCTTGCCTGGAGTACTGTGTCCAGTTTTTAAGCCCACACTTCAAGAAGGATGTGGACAGTTTGGAAAGAGTCCAACACAGAGCAACAAAAATAATTAGGGGCCTGGGAAGAGTGACTTATGAGGAAAGGCTGAAAGAACTCATGTTATTTAGTATGGAGAAGAGAAGACTGGGGGGGCTTGATAAGATTTCTCAAATACCTGAAGGGCAATTACAGAGAGGATAAAGATGGGCTTTTCTCTGTGGCCATTGTGATTTGCAGCCTAATTTTACTGTTTTGTACAGGAGGAAATTTATTCTGTTTTTTCAGCTTTATTCCATTATCAATTAAAAGTATTTTATAGCTCAAGCACAGAATCAATGCAGAGCAAGGTGCTTACTGAATGTGTTATTTATACAGATATTTGTTAAGATGAGCTTCATCACATTATAGAATGTTAAGACAAATTGTGCTACCCTTTGCATTCATTATGGATGACAACATATTAAATTAATCTTAAATAGGTATTCACCTTTCATCACATAATAGCATAAGTAGTTAAATTTCATCAACAGGGAGTCTTTTTAATCTTCTTTTTATTAACTGCAGAACAAAAATGATTGTTGTTTTTTCTGCCTTTCTTTTTTGGTAAATCCTATAATCCTTGCTAGGGGAAAGAAAGAAAGCCCACCTTTCAAACAAGGAACAAATCAATCTCTAGTGAAGAAAAGCCTAACTAGCTTAACTGACTCCAGCCTGCCAAATGCTCTCTCTCACTGAGACATTAGTTAAGTGTCAAAAGGCAAGTCAGCTTTCTTTATAAGGGTTCTTTATTGTACACAAGTACAAAGTGCATTATCTTATAATCTGGTCTTGTAACTTCCTGCTTCATTGTGCTGCTGCAGTTTTAAAAAAAGATTTAAGATATAAATGTCATCTTCTGTGTCATTAAACCAAAATCTATTAGAATTTTATTAGAAAATAAGTACTAAGACAGTAGAGCTTACATTTCCTCCCTTATGCTGTGCTAAATTGCTTGTGAAAGTGATATATTATGAATCTTATACTATAGCCATTGCAAAGGACTCAAAGACAAGCCCACATACTGTGTACATTAAATGATAATGTTGAATTGGCAACCAAGCAATGAACATCTCCCTAAATCTTTGTGCAGTGAAGAAATTTAGCATTGTAAAGATACAGATAAATAGAGAAATCATTTCAACACAGGACCAATAAAATGACACGAGTTAGCTGCTGTGTTGATATGCCTGAGCTATGAGCTATGGTATTACACTTTCTCTTCAGAAATTGTTTTTTAAACAACCAAAAATCAAAAGATAGAATGCTTTGTCTTTTTGGCTGGGATAGGAGATTCCTCCAGTATTCATTCAAGGACTTGTCAAGTGAAAAATAACTTGCTTAGCCAAAACCTCAGGAGATTTAAGGTGATGAGAAGGTCCTGCAAAAGGGAAGAAATTCATATGGCTTTTAAAGACTCTCCTGATATAAAGCAGAATTCAGGGGAGATGAAATGCAACCCTATGTTGAGGGTCAGCACAAGATTAAGTGATGCAGAAGCCTTGCACTATTTATCTGCAACAAGGTAGATTTACCCAGAGCACAGCAAGTGAAGAGCCATTGGTCACAGGAGGAAGTTTTGTAGGCAAGTGCCAAGTTCAGGCTTAATTGAGGAACTGTTTCTTAATAGAGAAATAGTTTGTTGTTCTAAAGTTGTACCATATTTGGAAACAACATGAAAACTTCCAAAAATAAACTAAGGAGTAGCCCCTTTAATATATTTTGTGCCCAAAAGCTTGCTAAGAAGAATTTTGCCAAGTATTTGAGGTGGTCTAATAAAAGATATCGGATTTACCCAAAGAACCTTGTCTGCCTATCTCCTTAGACCAACATGGGTACAACCTACATCCCTTTAATATATACTTTACATATGAGAGAGAGAGAGAGTGTTTGGGGAACATCTGTAGTTCCCATCCTCTGCTCTGGGAACCTATCTCATAGTTTAAAACACACAAAATCAAATAAAGGCTGCTTGTTAAAAAAAATGCCCTACTCAAGCCCACTGGCTCCTTAATAGTTTGTGAAAGAGCAAGAAAGGTATTGCAAAATGCCCATAAGGTTAGCAGTTTCTAACACAAGAATGCTAAGAGGAGAGTAGGTTCCAAAAGCAAGCACCTCATTCATCTACAGTTATGACACAGTTACAGAGAAATCAATGATCTCTCTGGTAGCCATATCCCAAACCTTCTGCTGCTTCCATATCCTGCTGCTAACAGTAGCCTGTCAGCAGACAAAATGGACAACCTTTAGTTCTGCACAAAATAGCTTGAGGAAAATCAGCCCTCTGAAGGCTAGAACTGATAGTGTAATAGGTCATCAAAAGCTACCGGCTGCTTTCCAACATACTGAAATCCCTAGATTTTTGGATTCCATACATGATAATACCTTTGAGCTTCAAGGAAAGCAAAGAAGGGATCGGGCACACATGAAAATTACAGTTCCTTTTGCAGGGTCTACATAATTATATTTCTTCTAAAACAGAAAATAAGTAGAATGTTATAAGCAGTTGCATTCCTGGCACTGTAAGAAAGACTGTGTTTGTGTGCTCCTTTATGCACACAGAAGTTGTTCAAGAACAATTAATCTTTGCATACACATTCTTTATATCCTGCTGCCCAGGCTGTGTCAGGTTGGGTTATGTGCCTTAGAGGCAGCTTTAATTTGGGCAGCTTCCTTTTTTTTTTTTTTTTTTTTAAATGATCTACGGCTTTCCTTCATAAATCAGCATCCCTGGCTCATTTGTGTGAGTGCCAGTTCCCTCTCATTCTTCACCTCTGTTTTGGCTTGCCTCTCCCCTCCCTAGTGTGCTCACTGAATATCCCCCCGTGTGCCAAGAAACCTGTATTGATGAATAAAGAGTTTGTTCAAGTTAGAAGGGGGGGAACCACATTGCACAATTTTCCATGTAACTTAAACTAAAAATCTGTCTTACACAGGGCTTAAGTCTTTCATGAGTAAAAACCATTATCTGAATAGGATACTCTCTTTACAAATCACTGGTACCCCAAACATTGGCTTCTAGCCATTTGATCCGCTTACATTGTTTATTAATTCATATTGTGCAGTGTGGGCCAGGATGACAGAAGGGCTGGATACAGACATTTGGGGAGGTTAGGGGGAGGTTAGATTGAGTTAAAAATAGCCACCTGATCTAAGGTAAGTCAGTATGGAGGGACTAGCAGTGGGGCTGGGGGGAATGAGAGGGCAAGCAGGCTTGGGGAGGGGGATCATGGGGTCTGTGGGGGTGGATCTGGAGAATCAGGGGAGCAAGCAGAGTCCATGGAGGGAATTGGGGGATCAGGGGGCAAACGGAATCTGTGGGAGGGATCAGGGAGGCAGGCAGCATCTGCAGGGGGGATCAGTGACACTGGGG